CCCCAAAACCCCAAAACCCCAAAACCCCAAAACCCCTAAATTCTTACAAAATATTGAATTTTAATAATTATTCAAAGATTGGATTCTCATCAAATATTTTTGGGTCCTTGACTTCTGAGCAAGAGAGGCCTTCTCTTTAGAAGTTTTGGACTCTTTTACTTCTACCTTAACAGAAGCAATTCCAGTGCTATTGCTAGGGGATGGGTGCTGAGCAGGTTTCTTGTGACTGTAGATCAATGGTCTCTGTAATCGAGACCTTTTAAAAGGTGTTGATAGCTTCTTTGTTGTCATATAATCCTCCCTTGTTAAAAATATTTTCCCTACAATGTGAGAGCTAGCTTACTTCTTTCTGATTTAGGACTCAAGCATATCTTGGGGCTTGCTTTAGGCCCTCTATCTGTCTCTCAACTCTTCTTTATTGAATCAGAGTAGTTCCTGGTAGATTTTGAAGATATTTTTGGAAGAAAAGAGATCAAATCAATCCCTTGGCTACAAATTTATCAGCAGATTACTTTATTTTTAAGAACTTTAGCTGAGATTTGTTGCTCCTACTAAACTTAGGCTTCAGGTCGCCCTCCAGTGCAATACTTTTAGGACTCAACACTTTGTAATGAATCATTTTCTGTGGTTTGAATAGGTTACTTTTTAAGATTTGAGTATTATTAGAACGCTCCTCTTTCTTCGGCACTACTAATACATTAAAAATGTTTAAAACATAAACAAAAGCAATATGGCATCTAATGTTTTTCTCGATCTAGCAAGCACATATAAGTTTATGGTCCATCCTATGCTTTCAAAACGGGATTTTTCTCAAGAATTGATGTAGAAATTTACAACTACAATCGTAAAACTTCTTGCAGTACAACTTAGTGAATTTTTAACTAGCTTTTTCAAAAGGCAAACGAGTCTGTTCTTATTTTTCTACAAAATTTCTTGCCATTGTATTTGGAAATCAGGGCAGACTGTTACAATTTTCCGAACCTATCATCATTTGCTAGCATACTTTAAGCGCTTGGCATTGGCAGGCTTGATAATTCAATGGAGGGTTACAGTAAAATAAGATCGCTAAGACATAAGGAGTAGCCTTAGTAGTTTACCATACTCCCTGAAAGGATTCTTTTACTTATAAACGGGAGTTATCAACATTTTAAATGAGTGTACATTCAAAAGGCTTACAGATATTCTCTGCTGTACATTTCTTCTCACTGATGATTTTTATAAAGCTCAATTTCTGCTTTTTGCTTTTATGTGAGCTGAGAGACTCTGAATTGGAGCTCACATCTGGAAGTGGCTTCTCATCGACAGTCTTAGAAGGCTTATTTTGTTTTCTAAATGTGCTGATTCTAGAAATTAAGAGAGAAGGTTACCTTGCTTTTGAATTCACTTTCTGGAATTTATGAATGTCCTTGTCACAAATGATCACATCTTTCTTCTGGATCTGATCCAGAGGGAGATCTCTTGGACTAGGAGCCACAGACATTGATTTGCTCCGTTCTTTTGCGTAAAAAGACTGCACTTTCAGATAATTTTTTCTAAATTTTAGAGGTCAAATTTACTTCCTGGCTATCATAGGAGAGAGGCCAAAATTCTCATTCTCTATATTGTCGTTCATTTCAGTGTTCAAGTCCATATTTTGTGGACTGGTTGCAGCCTAAACAATGAGATATCACGAGAGTCCAAAAGCAATAGAATTATGAGAAACAGGATATTACCTTTAAGTTGTGGCTCTTATTTTGCTTATCAATCCTTGTTATTGAGTGATAATCGAATGACACTTTGGGTTTTTCCTTCTCCTCTACAATATCTTCAACTATTGGACGTCTTGATGGTGCCGGAGCCCTTTGCCAAGGACAGGCCTTAGTAGGAGGAGGATTATAGTCACATACAATAGTCTCAGGTAGGTTGTTATCAATTTGGTTTAAGGTCTAGATGTAAACTTGTAGAATTACCTCGTAAACCTTTAAAAATCTCTTAGAGAGCAGAATCATTCTTTGCTTAACTGTATCAATTAGGATCTCTGAGCATGCTTGCACTTTAATGAAGAACTCCTCTCTCTTTATTTTATATACTTCAGAGTCTTTGGCCATGCATTTGATACTAGTCACTGAGTACGGTCAAGAAAGGACAGCTTCTATAAGCCCGAAGCACTCTAAATCTCCAATCTTGGAGATCTTGATAGTCTTCTTCTGGTAGTTATCTCCCTCTTTGATCTTCTCAACAGGGATATTCTCCTTTGTAACTAGATATTTGAGGCCAGAGTCTTTTAGTTTTCTCAAAAAGTCTACTTGCTTCCTTGTATAAAGTTTTAGATATTTTAGCTTTTGAGGATTGTCTTGTGCTACAAGTTAACGAGAGAATTTACCTAATTCTGGGTTGATAAAGACAGATTTGGTGACTTCAAACTCACCCTTTTTGATAAGGTAAATATATTCCAAGGGTTCTCCTTCTGTAAGTATTTTCTGCTCAACTCCACATTTCTCAAGGATTAAGTGATGGCATAATCTTTCCTTGGTTTTTCTGGTGAGGTAGTCCAGAAAGGAAAACTCTGACAGGAAACTTACTGTGTCTGCATACCTTTTATTTGAAGATCCTATCCATAATTACTTTGAAGTCGATTTTATTAATGATAGCAAATTGGCAATCCTCTTCTGTTTGGATTGTGGCTGCTCTAGGAGAGTTATTCATAAGGGCTAGTTCTCCAAACGCAAAGCCAACACTGAGAGTAGCAACTTTGTGCATAAGGTCAAAGCTCATTTCTTTGGAATCTTCCTCTGGTGCTTCATAATAAGGGTCATCATACTGTAAATCTTGAAAACCAGGGAACCTGTTTCCGTACCGCTTGAAAGAATCTACACGTTCTCCTTTAAGTATTTTCTTAGTGAGCTTGTAATTAAGTTTTATTTTGTAGCTTGTCTCTACGATCTCTGGGATGAGTCGCTGAATAACCATCAAGATACCAATGAACCTCTCATTATCAATGATCCACTCCTTGTTTTCAACTATCATCTCTAGTAGAGATCTGAAGGAGAAGTCCATGGTCAACCTGGAAGGGATTCTGACACTGACAGAGCCACGGAGGATGATGTAAAATTTAGTGCCAATTTCCCCATATTTTATTACAAATTTATCTTTGTCCACCGTCTATAGAGGAAAATTAACCTCCTAATACCTGGAATTTCATGGCTCTAAACAACAAGTGGAGATTATCAACCCCATTTTCTTCCTCATATTGCACAAAGTAAGGCTGGTTCCTAAAATAATAAGCCAAGTCTTGAATATGAGAATATTTCCTATCAGGTCCATTCTTGCGGAGGATTCTTCTCACATCAGGGAAAGTCACAGACCGTTCTTTCTCCGAGCGTTTGGTTTTTCTGAACATGCATTCTTGGATCCCGATCTTTCAGAACAATTGTTCGAATTTACCTCTTCTAGCTATATAAAAATCGTTTAGAAGCTCTCATGCTTTCAAATTTATCCTAGGAAAAGATTACTTAACGATCTAACTAAACCTTCAACCTCAGAAGCCTAAACCTGAACTTACAATGTAGATGCAAAGCTGTTTCTGATATATTGCCTTGATAAACTGCCCCAAGAGGCTCAATTATCCTCTTCTTCCTTCTTTCCCATCTCCTCAGACTAAATGGACTTAGCTCATCTTCTAAATTCTCTACCTATATATCTCTGAATTTAGCAAATGATTAAATCTATATTGTGTGTACAATTTTTTAAATCTACCCATTCTCACTTCAAAATACTCAAAAATACCTTCTCCAAAAGCCCAATCCCATATTAACCCTGCCACTCATCAACCACCCCTATATCCAGTTCTAAAACAACCCGCAGCACCAAGGACCTTCTTCCTATCCAGCTACTAGTTTTCCACTTCTGTATTCTCATTTACCCATCCCAATTCTTAAAGAAAAACCTGTCTATTCTAAAGCAGTCTATACCCCTTCCTTCCTTACCTTCCTCTTCTCCCCCCATTCATCCCCAATCTTAATCTTCCTATTTTCCATTTTCTAAATTCTATTAAACCAGCAAATGTTGGGGTTTTGGGGTTTTGGGGTTTTGGGGTTTTGGGG